GGCAAATCTATTATTATTTGATGAGTTTGATTTGTGCGCTTGATGTATGGGGTAGATGGAGAGCGATTGATTTTGAAGTTCCTAAACTTGCTTTTTACAAATCGAACTTAATCTTTACTTTTGGTGTCCGTTGTTATCCCATTGAATTATCACTTTTTTCACCTATCAAGTGTTTACGTCTTTCTTACAATAGGTATTTGCATTTATCTTTGTTTTTCAGAGAAAATTCTATTTCAGTTTCTCACTGTTGGTTTTATTAGTCATAGGACTAGAATATTAAACAAGACAGGCTTCCTTTGTAAAAGGTTAGTTTTAAAAAAATAAATTTAGGAACAATCTTTTCCCGCTTTAAAAAACTACCAAACTTGAAACAGATTTTTGGCAAACATTTACCGCTAAAAAACTTGCCTTAACCTCATCATAATCTTCAAAATATAATGATCAAGGTCTTTAACTTTCATGATCTAATTATCAAGTCTCCTTTCCAAATGTAACAAATGTCACTGTCAATATTTTTAGAGAATGAAGTATTGCGTCAGTCCAATACCGTTATGCTGACAAGTTGCTTTATTCTCTAAAACTGTTGACTGAAAAATATATTGATTCTGTAAGGAGAAATTGCACGTTAAACAATTCTTAAGTGTCCGAGTCTGGGACTGAAAGAGTAAAAGCAGCCACACGATGTATGAATGCGAAATTTTTATGTAAAAAGAACGAGGATGCAATGTTTTTAATGCGATTACTGGGAAATTGGAAGGCGACGTAATGGTGTTTTAGGTTTTCCGAACGATTTTGTTTTTGTTCTACCGATGATGCCGTTACCTTTTTTTCACAAAAAGTCATTGTCATTCATTTCTGTTTTGCGGGGAAAGTGTCATTTCATTTTCTTACTCTCGGCTTCCTCAGTCATTCAATCAAAATACTTAACAAGACACACTTCCTTTACTTTACAAAGCAACAAAGGGTTCAAATAGTCGTGGTAAGTACGATATTTAATTGTTAACGTGCTGGTGTCTAATGCGACATTTCATCGATTTTACAATACATATTTTAAGCTGCTCTCACATAGACCATTACTGTGTTGATTCATATACTGACACATCATGAATTGCTCTAGAAGGACACCCGTCTGAATAAATTCCATCTATGTCTTAAAGTTTTATCATATCCCAAGAAGAACAAGTCTCTTGCGCATGAAAATCGGTACTTCTGTCGTGTTGAGTTAATTCGTACCATTCATACCTATCCAACGCTTGGATAACAATCAAAACACCAGTGTAAATCTAATCCAATAAGCATGCGTAATCTGTGTACCAAAAAACGTCCTCAAAAGTTCACAAATGTTAAATGTTCGCATTGCGTCAAGCGCGGGGTCAGTTATTTCGGCAAAACAAATGTTCAGATTAAGGAAGACGGAAACCGTTGTTGGTGTTCGCAATGTAACAAAATTGGTAAGAAGGAGCCATCCAAAATTGAAATTTTTTGTGATGAAAATGTTCATTACATGAGCAGAGATTTTTCTTATCATAAAATCACCGTTTGGTCCGCCATGATGTCTCCTTGGCCGTCCTAAGTAACTTAAGGTTTTTCAGTGTCGGTGGTAACACAGAATATATTTAAATCGCACAGTATTGCCAAATTTCAAATTAATTAAAGGCAGGCAGTTCTATTTTTTATTTGATAAGTTTGTTTTGTGCGCTTAATTTATGGGGAAGATGGAGAGCGATTGATTTTTAGGTTTCTAAACTTGCGTTTTACAAATCGAACTTAATCTTGGTGTCCGGTGTTCACCCTTTGGTTTATCATTCTGTTTTTCACCTATCAAGTGTTTACGTCTTTCTTACAATAGGTATTTGCATTTCTCTTTGTTTTTCAGAGAAAGTTCTATTTCAGTTTCTTACTGCTGGGTTTATTAGTTATACGACTGGAATATTAAACAAGACGGGCTTATTTTTTAAAAGGTTAGTTAAAAATAAATAAATTTAGGAACAATCTTTTCCCGCTTTGTTGCTAAAAATTTGCTTTGACCTTATCATAGTTTTCAAAATAAAATGATCCACTCATCTCCAGGCCTTTAACTTCCATGATCTAATTTTCAAGTCTCCCTTCTTAATGTGAGAAATGTCATTGTAAATATATTTTTTAGATACCTTATAGGCAAGCTGTAATGCAAGTTCCATCCAAAAAGTTTTTACAATAATTAATTTTACCGATAATTTTCAAATTCGATCTTTCACTAGCTCATTACATTCTTCGTTGCTTTGCAGAGAATTGTTACAATCAGTTTCTTGATTTTGGTCTCCTATCTATCAAGAGATCGGTGAGCGGCTAAATATTTATATCAGAAATAAAGTGCGCTGAAATATTTAGGATTGCAACTTAATAATGATAGAGGTAACACGCTTTGAATGATGAGTCTGTTTACTCTCATCACGTGATTGCTATATCATATATTGATTTTGTAAGGAGAAGCTACATGTTCATCATTTCTGTGATTATAGAAAGTAAGAAGATGCCAAATGTTATTTAATGAGTCTTATGGGCAACCTGGGAAACGAGTTTTCTTCCATCTCAGATTTTCTTTTCCTCATTTTGGTGATTTCCAAGTACCAACCGTGTGATTAAAATGTTGTTACACCAGCTATTTGTATATACGTTTGTTTTTCTGGGAAAGTCTAATTTGATTCTTTTTACTTTCGTTTTCATAAGGCACACTATCAGAATCTGTCGGCAGGGTCTGTTTCAAAGGTGAGCTGTTCTTTCTTTCTTTTTTTTAAATTTTGGTTGCTTCTTAGTTTCATTTTGTATGAATAAAATTGATCTTGTTCTTTTACCAAACAAAACATTTCGAGAACGTGGTGGATAAGTTATTTAAGAAACGAGAATGTAATTGAATAGAATGAAAAGATTGCTTGAACGATTTTTATTTCTCGTTGCGATGCATCAAAAAACTCAATCGTTCGCTGCGCTCGCTCGTTTGTTTATTTGATGCATGGCTACTCGTGAATAAAACTAGTTCAGTAGTACGCACTTTCCATGGAATAATCTCTATTTCCTTCGTCTCATAACCAGATTAAGCATTTTGACGACGAGTGATCGGTTTGAACGCTTAATAGAATCTTTGCTATTTTCCCAATTTTATGCTGCATTACAATCAAAATATTTTCAGTTTTGAAAATAACCTTTAAGTAATGATTGACAGTTCTATGTTCCAATTTCATAATCTCAAATTCTTAAAGAAAGTTTCTAAAAATGACAAACCGTGATCTGCATGGGACACACAGTTAGAAATACCGACACAAATATTTACATCCGGACATGTAGATTGTTATTTTTATTTCGTTGAATTGATGTCCATCAAATTTGTCTTCCACGCAAAGAAACTGATCTACGTCGCGTATATGGACATCTCCGGATTGATTAGAAATTATTGATTTGCCTCGATTCTGAGTAAAACAACAATGGATATCAGAGCAGAGCGCGTCCATGAGTGAGGACTCAGAGTGAGACTCATGATCCTGACAGGATTTCATGCAAGAATTTTTAGAAAAACTCACGTGTCATGTATATGAAAGGCAAAACTTCAAATCTCTCGCCTTGTGTAGAACGTTTCTGAAAAATCTTTAGGATTTCACGAGATGAACGAAGAAATTCACGAGTAACTTACATTTCAGTGGGCAAGTCACGCCTCACTCTAAATCATAAATTCACGAATCACGATCCTTTTTCAGGCGTCACATGTTAATTTTGGCCTTAAACACGCGTCACGTGTAAACCTTTTGGCACCCTCCTTTCAAAATTCAGTTGAAAGCTCTCGTAGGATACTGCAATGAAGTACAGAAATATAAATTGCAATTGAAAGTTTCGCGCGACGGTGATAGTTTTCAGAATTATTGCCAAAACAATTCAATCAAGAAAAACCCACTTCCTTCAAGTCGACCCTCCTATTTGCTAACCACTATAAAGTGTGAGAAGGACGATTTTTTCCAAATGTTAATGTAACTTTCAGTAGAACAAAATACGGTGAAAGAATACCAAAAAAAAATGAAACATCTCATCTACTTTAATATTTCAATTGTCAAGGGTCGATATGAATTGTATTCTCTCAAAACAAAGTAAAGAACTTTACGACTTCAGCTGAAGCTAGAGACAAGAGCGTTCATGGAGGCGGAAAAGAGCCTGTGCAAGATGAGTAGGAAATAATAACCACCTTTATAAACCGAATAAAATTGTACCACCACTTCCTGTTCATAACGCTAGCATCAACTCTCCTGATTGAAATGACTGAAATGGTTTTCTTCTAAAAAAAGTCAAAATATTTCTTTAAAACTGATACGTACGAAAAACATAAATGCTATTACTTCAATTAAAAAGTCCAAGAAAACCTACTTCATTGGCTAAAAGCGTTCTTAAAACTCTATCCGGCAGCCAGGCGATCTGTCCGAAAAACGCGCGAGACGCTCGCGACGCGTGGAAGGTGCCCATTTAAATCGTCCCATTCCATCGCGTCCTATCATCGTATGATCAATAGAAGATCCAGAGAAAATCATGTTGATGTACATTCTTGGAGTTGAATTCAAATGTTTGCCGACTTTTTCTGCTAATTTTAACAATCTAAGTGGAAGTAATTTTCTAGCAGTAAATTTCGATCAGATTTAGTAATAACTAATTTTTATGGCATAAAATAGGTGGGAAAAAAAAACGTTTAATGCCAACATAACAAGATTTGTAACTGCTGTTCAACTGGTGAAACTTTTTTGATAGCTATAATCAAATCTACTACACGATTATTTGAATTCAACCCAACTGATTCATATGGGATTGGTTTGAATAAGAGAGTGAAAAAGAACTGTTACCCTCAGACATTCGTAAAAAGGAAGAAAACAACCAATTCCCTCTAAAAGCTCAGGGACTCCTCAATAATCAGTTTTTATTCTAATTTTTTTAAGTTTTGTTTTTTGTTCACTCTTTGTCACAAAAACAAACAGGAAAGACTCGTTATGAGTGACGCTGCAGAAATCCTACAATCAGTCCAGATAGGTTTAAATGTCGTCATATTTCTTCTCAACACTGATCGTGGCCCACAAGCGACTGAGTTATGTAATGAATGTGCAATTCTACTTCAAAACCTTGACTTTGGTAGACACCTTGACATCTCTGTTGTAATATCCAATGCATATTACGCCATCTCTGGTAACACAAATGTTGAAAGATATGCCAAGACACTTCTTTACACGTTGCACCACGCTGGAAGACTAACCATTCAACTGGGAGACAAATATGAAGCACAGCACCGGTTTGTAGAGGCAAAGCAACTTTACAATAGCGCAGTCATCATCATGCAAACGATTGGTCACAAAAGAGAAGAAGCTATGGCTCATGAAGGACTTGGAACTGTATGCATAAGCCTCAGTGAAATGCAGAAGGCAAAAAAACACTTCCAGAAAACACTTACCATCGCAATAGAAATTGGCGACCGATTAGCAGAAGGAAGAAGTAACAGGTACCTCGGTGATGTGTTTCATTACCTTTGCAAATATCAGAGGGCTAAAGAATATAACGAGAAAGCACTTGCCATCGCGATAGAAATTGGCGACAGAAAAGGAGAAGGAACAAGTAACGGGAACCTCGGAAATGTGTTTCATTCCCTGTGCCAATATCAGAAGGCTAAAGAATATTACGAGAAAGCACTTGCCATTGACATAGAAATTGGCAACAGACCAGGTGAAGGACCAATTCACGGGAACCTCGGAAAGGTGTTTCATTCCCAAGGCGAATATCAGAAGGCTAAAGAATATTACGAGAGAGCACTTGCCATTTCGATAGAAATTGGCGACAGACATGGAAAAGGAAGATTGAACGGGAACCTTGGAAATGTGTTTCATTCCCTAGGTGAATATCAAAAGGCTATAGAATATTACGAGAAAGCACTTGCCATCGCGATAGAATTTGGCGACAGAAAAGGAGAAGGAACAATTAACGGGAACCTCGGAACTGTGTTTCATTCCCTGTGCCAATATCAGAAGGCTAAAGAATATTACGAGAAAGGACTTGCCATTGCCATAGAAATAGGCGACAGACAAGGAGAAGGAACAATTAAGGGGAACTTCGGAAATGTGTTTTATTCCATAGGCGAATATCAGAAGGCTAAAGAATATTACGAGAAAGCACTTGCCATCGCGATAGAAATTGGCGACAGAAGAGGAGAAGGAAGATTTAACGGGAACCTTGGAAATGTGTTTTACTCCCTAGGCGAATATCAGAAAGCTGGAGAATATTACGAGAAAGCACTTGCCATCGCGATAGAAATTGGCGGCAGACAACAAGAAGGAATAGTTAGCGGGAACCTCGGAAATGTGTTTCATTCCCTAGGCGAATATCAGAAGGCTAAAAAATATTACGAGAAAGCACTTGCTATTGGGATAGAAATTGGTAACAGACAAGGAGAAGGAACAAGTAACGGGAACCTCGGACATGTGTTTCATTCCCTAGGCGAATATCAGAAGGCTCAAGAATATTACGAGAAAGCACTTGCCATCGGGATAGAAATTGGCGACAGACAAGGAGAAGGAACAAGTAACGGGAACCTCGGAAATGTGTTTCATTCCCTAGGCGAATATCAGAAGGCTCAAGAATATTACGAGAAAGCACTTGCCATTGCGATAGAAATTGGCGACAAACAAGGAGAAGGAACAATTAACGGGAACCTCGGAACTGTGTTTCATTCCCAAGGCGAATATCAGAAGGCTACAGAGTATCACGAGAAAACACTTGCCATCGCGATAGAAATTGGCGACAGACAAGGAGAAGGAACAAGTAACGGGAACCTCGGAAATGTGTTTCATTCCCTAGGCGAATATCAGAAGGCTACAGAGTATCACGAGAAAACACTTGCCATCGCGATAGAAATTGGCGACAGACAAGGAGAAGGAACAAGTAACGGGAAACTCGGAAATGTGTTTCATTCCCTAGGCCAATATCAGAAGGCTACAGAGTATCACGAGAAAACACTTGCCATCGCGATAGAAATTGGCGACAGACAAGGAGAAGGAACAAGTAACGGGAACCTCGGAAATGTGTTTCATTCCCTAGGCGAATATCAGAAGGCTCAAGAATATTACGAGAAAGCACTTGCCATTGCGCTAGAAATTGGCGACAAACAAGGAGAAGGAAGAATTAACGGGAACCTCGGAAAGGTGTTTCATTCCCAAGGCGAATATCAGAAGGCTAAAGAATATTACGAGAAAGCACTTGCCATTTCGATAGAAATTGGCGACAGACATGGAAAAGGAGCAGTTTACGGGAACCTCGGAAATGTGTTTTATTCCCTAGGCCAATATCAGAAGGCTACAGAGTATCACGAGAAAACACTTGCCATCGCGATAGAAATTGGCGACAGACGAGGAGAAGGAACAAGTAACGGGAACCTCGGACATGTGTTTCATTCCCTAGGCGAATATCAGAAGGCTCAAGAATATTACGAGAAAGCACTTGCCATTGCGATAGAAATTGGCGACAAACAAAGAGAAGGAGTAATTAACGGGAACCTCGGAAAGGTGTTTCATTCCCAAGGCGAATATCAGAAGGCTAAAGAATATTACGAGAGAGCACTTGCCATTTCGATAGAAATTGGCGACAGACATGGAAAAGGAGCAGTTTACGGGAACCTCGGAAATGTGTTTTATTCCCTAGGCCAATATCAGAAGGCTAAAGAATATTACGAGGAAGCACTTGCCATTGGGATAGAAATTGGCGACAGACAAGAAGAAGGAACAATTAACGGGATGCTCGGAAACGTGTTTGATTCCCTTGGCGAATATTATAAGGCTAAAAAATATTACGAGAAAGCACTTGCCATTATCACAGAAATCGGCGGGAAAAAAGGAGAAGCATACTTGAGTCTTGGGAATGTTTATTTTCAGCTTCGAAAAAATCGGCAAGCTAAAAAATATTTGGACAAGGCATTCGGTATCGGTATAGCAAGTGGTGACAGAATACTAGAAGCTAACACTACAGCAAGTTTGGCAGCGGTTTTTGCTTCTGTGAATGACGATCAGAAAGCAAAAGAACATTGCGTGAAAGCGATTACCACCAGCAGAGAATGTGGCAATAGAAGTGGCGAAGCACGAAGTTACATAAACCTTGGCATGATACACCAATCGCTCGGTGAGTGTAGCAAGGCAGAAGATTGTTTAAAGAAAGGTTATTCCATGAGCAGCCAAATTGGAGACAAGATGCTTGAGTTTAAAAGCCTTCTTAGTATTACACTGGTAAAGATATCGCAGTCAGAGGTTGTGGAGGCAAAGGAATATCTTCTTCGATGTATTGCAAAATACGAGCAAATCAGAACTTTTCTGAAAGGAAACAGTGAATTTAAAATATCTCTGTTAGAGAAACACGGTACTTTTCCCTACCATTTACTCACTGACTTGCTTTGCAATATTGCAAAATTTCGAGATGCTCTCTATGTTGAGGAACTGGGACGAGCAAGAGTCCTCGCAGAATTAATGGCAGACAAGTACTCCGTGGAAAGCCACATCTCAGCCGATTCACAATCGTGGTTCGGGATTGAAAACATCGTGAGGAGAGAAAGTAACTCTGTTTTCTTGTACATTTCGTATAGAGAGCGGCAAGTTCTTCTCTGGGTACTGAAAGCAAATGGAGGCTCTTGCTTCCGAGTTACAGAAGAAGTGGAAGTAAACACTCTTATTGACGAGCAAGTTTGCGATGTGGAAGGAATTTTCAAAAAGAGTGCCGCTGACTTTGGCGTTTTACCCAAAGCAAACTGCGAAGATCGATCTTTGGATGACCACTTGACGACATCTCTTCATAAAGAGAGCCGAGCAAATTTGCGAGGTGAACAAACCAAAGATACCGAAAGAATTCATAAATTGTGCTACAAATGGATCGTCGCACCTGTGGAAGACTTACTTACAGAGCCTGAAATCATCATTGTGCCGGATCGTTTTTCGTACCGAGTTCCATTTGCTGCCTTGCGAGATGAATCTGCCGGAAAGTATTTATCGGAGAAGTACAGAATCCGTATCGTCCCTTCACTGACGACTCTCCGAATCATTCAAGAATGTCCAGCGGACTATCACAGTCTAATTGATGCACTGGTTGTGGGTGATCCTACGGTCGGCGAAGTGCACTACAATGGACGTCTCACTGAAATTACACCATTGCTCTGTGCAAGAAAGGAAGCCGAGATGGTTGGTCGACTGCTGGGTGTTCAGCCTTTGTTAGGAAGTCGCGCAACAAAGCAGGCAGTACTTCAAGCGATACCTTCGGTAAGTCTAATACATCTTGCCGCTCATGGAAATGCCGAAAGAGGAGAGATTGCCCTCTCTCCTCAACGTGCTACTAACCAAGAGGAAGACTACCTCCTGACTATGTCCGAAATTCAAGGAGTTCAAGTGCGAGCTAAACTGGTAGTACTCAGCTGTTGTCACAGTGGGCGTGGATTGGTTAAAAAGGAAGGAGTCCTTGGAATCGCTCGTGCATTCTTAACATCCGGTGCACGTTCAGTGTTGGTAGCATCGTGGGCTATAGAAGACGAAGCAACGGAACAGCTCATGAATCATTTCTACGAACACCTTGTGCGTGGAGAAAGTGCCAGTGAGTCTCTTCACCAGGCCGTTCAATGGTTGAGAAGCAATGGTTTCCCTAAACCTTCCCAATGGGCTCCATTTGTGCTGATGGGGGATAACGTGACATTTGATTTTACGAAAAAAGGGTAAGTCTGATTGTAATGAGCAATTTTCTATAATAACCGATTAGCACACTTAACTTTTTCAGTTCAACACATAATAGTCGGTTTTTGTTTGTTTTTGTCTTTGTCTCTCATCCATAAAATGTAAAGAAAAAGAAGACGATTTCATTTCGTGCTCAGAGCCAGAAGATTTTTATGAATCGCTACCTTAATTGGCCTTGAAAAAGAGTTCCTTTTGCATGGAAGATATTCAGAAATAACTGCAGGAGGTTGATACGATGCTAGACGCTATGACGATGAGAGTAATCTGAGAAACTTCAGCTGACTTTAAAAAAGTTAACTTTATTTTGTAAAAAATCTACAACAGTAACCAATTAAACCATAATTTTGAAGTCACTTTCGCCTAAATTTTGGCATATGCAACAATAATTTGGAAAAGTTCGAAAATCATTGTCCATGACATTGAAGAAAAAGTAATTTCTTTCAAATGAACTTGATCCGTTTGCTTTTCAGTTAAAATAGTGAAAAATGTAGAATGTTTGTTTTTAGGAAAGAAGAACTCAAGGAGGACAAAAATGAAGCAAAGATTGGAGCAGAGTGACGACTGATCCGACATAAAGATTCTTCTTCCTTTTATCTGACATTTATCGTCTTTAAATGGACACTGGTATTACTTTAAAAGTCAAGAAGTCGTTTTGGCATGCTTTTTTAAACACGACTGAGTCGAAAGCGTGCAACAAAGAAACCTGCAATTCGGCCGTTAGATCAATTAATTATATCATTAGAGAACTAAAATTAACATTGGGATGAACGCAGGAAAAAAACTTATCTTAAAAAATGATAGAATGTTGGCAGAGTTGTGTCAAAACTTAAAATTGATCCTCGGTTTACATCACCATGATCTGGTTTTCAATTCTCTCGTAGCATGCAGACGCGATCATCAAAGAGTGATAACATAACAAACAAACGGAAGAGAAACGTAGGCGTTACTATATCAAAATCTAAAAGATAAACGGAGAAGGGAACAGACAGAGTGAAATTTACTTAAAAATCAGCAACAAACAGAGAAGAGAAAAGAAACGATATCCAAATTGTAAAGGTAAAATTAGCCTGAAATATTTCGTAAGATACAAGCGCTATAGTCGAACAGAAAAGTGCAAACAGCTGGTAGGAAATTAAGGTGACAATCAGCCAGAATTCAGAAAAAAAGTTCCTGGATAGATTCTAACGTAAGAAACAAATACAAATTGAAAAATCAGCGAGATAGATATTAACTTAGAAATTAAAATAGAGGAGGAAAAGTATTGTAGAAGACGAAGCAAAGGAACAGCTCATGAATCATTTTTACGAACACCTTGTGCGTGGAGAAAGCGCCAGTGAGTCTCTTCACCAGGCCGTTCAATGGTTGAATAATTATAGCGAAAATTGGTTACCGTTAAGGGGTAAATAGCTGCCGTTTCGAGCGTTAGCCCTTCGTCAGAGGAATTGGTATATCAATTAGTAGTTCTGTTTTGCTACCAGAACGGACAAGTTAGGCTTATCTTTCTCGCCTGCGATAACTCGCTTTGTCCCACCCCTCCCACAGAAAAGGGAAAATAAATACAACTTATATAGAAAAGTGACTGCAAATAAGACGGAATCTTTAGAATACTGCAAAGCTCTAGGAAGGGATCAAGTAAATTTTTGCTGCGACACAACTAAAATTCTCCGCCCCCCTTCTAACCCCATCTCCAGGCGACCGCGATTTAACTTTTTAACTCCCAGATCAAATTTTTAGTTCTCCTTACTGTCAACCATACAATTTATATAATGTTAGTTCAGAGAATTTAGCATTGGATCAACCAATTATCCTCAAATTGATATTTTTCTTTATTCTCATTACATATCTGGTTGATATTGGATTGCCACTGTAAGGAGAAATTCTGTCTTGGTCACTCACGGGAGTTAAAGGGTTAATGATGGTCGGTACCTCGGTGTCGTCATCTGTAGAAGCTCCGCCTCGTCGTCACTCTCCATGCAGTTGTTGCTGTTTGCGCTTTTCCTTCTGGGGCTTGGGACTGAGTTGTCTTGGGCGACATTTCATTTGTTAAAATATAGAAAACGTAAAATCTAAACTACAACAAAACGAGAAAAACATTGGGAAATTTCAAATGGCTCGACTGAAGCAAAATATCGCAAGCTCGACAAAGTACGCATGCTCAGTCAAGATTTTTTAGGGGTTTTGGTACGCATTCTCAAGTCAAGATTTTGTAGGGGTTTTGGTTCCCAGGTGGCCTCATTTTATTTTTCAGTTATGTATTTGCAATTTTCGTATCGTTTACGAGTAGATAGATGTGAAAGATAAGTTGAGGGATTATCTTAAAAAAAAAACACAAAATATAGAGAACATGTTTATTTTCCTTCAAATCTCGTCGTTGTTGGTTAAATAGCAGCCATTTAACTGCTTAAAAGTTTGATAAATACTGCAGAGTTCTCTTTTTGAGAAATAGACATTGATCGATTCCTAATAGTGATAAACTGAAATTAAATAAGTGAGTCTGAATAATTCCGCGAGTTCGAGTTCGAGTGCAATGTAGAACACAGAGGCTTAGGGAAATATTTTGGCAAGCTACCCTAATTGGGAAAGATTTCCGTATCACCACATACTATTTGAAAACAAAGCCATACTAACTAACTGTATTGTTTTCGGCATTGTTTTATTTTGTCAAGAACTTGAAGCATAATAACATAGTATGCGGTAATCTTGCTTAAAGTTAAGGAAGAGAGTAATGTGGGATGTTCTCATTTAGTCATGTTGTACATAAAAGTCGTAAGGAGTAATCGGGCGCGACCAGAACTTGCAAACAAAACTTCCCGGATGTGCGAACCTAATGGAGCTTTCTCCTCGTGCGCCTGCTTTCATGCACGCGTGTTAATTACATTTTTGTTGACGCTTGTTACGCGGGCTGATATAACCTAAAACATTTAGAGAAGAGCGGGACGGAGGGGGGGGGAGGGGTAGTGTAACGTGTTGTCATCATTCACTAAAATTAATGCAAAATTACTTTTTACAATGATGAATATTTCATTCACTGCTTTTTCAGGCGTTATTATGTAGACTAACTTTTTTAAACCAGCATAATTGTGACTATTTTTAAGGTCATTGATAGTGGATATAAAGTCCTTGTGCCGTGTCTTAATATGTCTTAATCAATTATTGCTTGGACTTTGTCTCATTTCCCGTTCCTTCGCGAGAAGCGAAGGATGGGGTCGCTCATGATGGCTTTATCATGCCTGTGTCTGGTTAATTCTCAGTCTCCACCTCTTCGTAAAGCCGCTCGATTTGGTCTTTGAAAGTCTTGAGTATCTCTGAACGCTTGGCCTTGAAGGTTGGCGTGAGAAGTCCGTTTTCAATGCTAAACATCTCAGGATGAAGATAGATTTTCTTGACCTTTGAAACATAGGATATTATTGTGATATATAAGGGTGGCTTCCGTTTTCATTTTTAGGAAATACGAATTTTTTTTCGTCCATGCTCTCGAAATATAGAGACTTTTCATTTAGTACAATTAAGTTTGTTGGTTGCCGTGGAGACTCCTTCTGTTTATCGCGTAAAGGGAAAGTTAAAGAAAAGTCCTTTGAGTTAAGCTATTTCGTGTAGAAAACCACTTCAAAGCGGACTCTTCTCATTCAGTTAGCATTTCCCACATCTATCAGACATTGTCACCTACGAGTAAATAACTGTATGACGTACACCCTAACCTGTTCTAATGAATTAAGATCTCCTTCTCTTCCTTTGGCCAAGATGTCTTCCAATATAACTTTATTTATAATCTGAAAGGAAAGTCACAGTTATGTGCTCAGCTAACTCCGTTTCCATAAAAGAAAAAAGAAACTTTTCCGCTGTTTATGTTAGATTATCATTGAACATTAAGGAGGAGGGAGTTCTGAAAAAGTGAAAAATTAAATCATCTTTCAGATATGGAAAACTGCAAAAAAACCAAACAAACGAAAAAGAAAAGAAGAAATACATAAATAAATAAATAAGCAATAAATTAAAGATATCTGGAGAAAATCAAAGACGAAAAAAATTACTGGCGTTTGACCCCATTAACCTGGCTACGACCATGTTAACCTGTGGTTGGTTCAACTTCAGCTTGCATGGGAGGCCTGGGGATAATATTACGGGCCTTTTTCATTTAGACTAATCACTTAAGACTACAGCCCCCGACCCTCGGGACCCCTCACCTTTAACCCCTCACCCCTTCTGTAAATTTACTAACCTCATCTTGACAAAGCTGTTTCACGTCTCCCTCCACTTCATTTTTTTTGGCCCAGGCTTCTATCACTTCAGCATCTGGTACAATGATGGCAACTAAGAAGGACTGGAAACGAAAAATGTGTTCATTCAAGCTGCTATTTAGCTTCAATGTTTAAAAATATTATCAACAAACCTTAAAGCTGTTTCCAATAACAAAGGCCTGCGCAACAAATGGACTGCATAAATATACATTCTGGATCTTCTCTGGAGCAATATACTCTCCTTGTTTTAGAAAAAAAAATCATCATATAAAGGAAATTAAAAAAAGGAATAAAAAATGAAAAGAAATGATACATGAGGCTGAGACAGAAAAAAATATTTGATTTCTCTGAGAGGCTTCGAATCCAAACCTTCGGATTTCGTACTCCGATATTTCACTTCTAAGCTACAATGTATCCAACAATAACTTTACGAAGTCAATTTAAGCTTAACGTCACATATTCATTGGACGGCCGAGCTAACAATTTCATTCTTTCTTATCTTGTTAAGCTGCAAAAGATTTAGAAGGAAATCCATACAAGATAGCAACGCAGAAATAATAACCTCTTCCAAGAGAATCAGCAAACTGTAACGGAACATAGGTATATAACATTTGTAAAACAATGATATTCAGGGACGAAAATATAGTAATCTTACCTGGGAAAGCTTGAAAATGTTTTTCTTTCTATCAATGATTTTCAAAGTTCCATTCTGCAAAAGAAGGCAGCGCGCTTTTAGCTTTGATAAAAAACATAGGCATACCACGCATGCAAGAGTTATCTTCTTTGGATGGGTGGGTAACTAGCTAATTGGTACCTTCTATTTTTGGAAAGAAAAATAGCGTCAAGTTTCAAAAGATAACAACGAAAATGTCGTTTAATTGGGAAGAGAAAAGAAAAAGCCTTCCAACTTGTTTGTGGTGTTTTATCATTAGTTCTGAATAATTGTAAGCAAAAATAATCTGCATTGTTGCCGCAGATACTGTAGACTACAGTCTTCCGTGCAGCCTTTGTTCGGGCTCGTCACGCTACGCGCTTCTGACCTGCATTGCGTGACGAGAGCGAACAAAGTTTGCGAAGGAGATTTTGCTAGCTTAGCTAGGCCCTCATGATCAGCGTTTGGTCACGAGCGTTTCTTCGCCCGCGCGAACATACAAGGCTTTCAGGAACACGAGCCAGCGAAAAGTCTGTCGGGGGTCTAGTACTGATAATTAGCGCCAGATTCCTGGAAAACCTCTCCTCGACATGACAACGTATTCTCTAAATCGGCCCACCAGGAGTAGGCTGAGATTTGCCACGCACCTTTTACCTTAATATAGACATATGCCGCCGATTCTTCACTTTTCAAAGCAACAAAGAGTTAAAAGAGTCGTGGTAAGTACGATATTTAATTGTTAACGTGCTGGTGTGCTAATGCGACATCTCATCAATTTTACAATGCATATTTTAAGCTGCTCTCACCTAGACCATTACTGTGTTGATTAATCTACTGAAACATCATGAATTGCTTTAGAACGACATCGGTCTGAATGAATTCCATCCATAATTAAATTTTTTTTTCATATCCCAATGAAAAGACATGGGTTGCGCATTACAATCAGTACTTCTGCCGTGTTGCCAAATTTTGCCGTGGGTCAAATTCGTACCATTCATACCTATCCAACGTTGTTCTTCCTTTCGTTTATCATTCTGTTTTTCACCTATCAAGTGTTTAAGTCTTTCTTACAATAGCTATTTGCATTTATCTTTGTTTTTCAGAGAAAGCCGAGTTCTATTTCAGTTTCTAACTGTTGGTTTTATTAGTCATACGACTGGAATATTATACATGACAGGCTTCTTCTTTAAAAGGTTAGTTCTCAAAAACAAACAAACTTATGCCCCATTCACACCAAAGCTTAAACATGTTTAAAAGTTGTTTTGTTAAACACAGTTTAATTTTTTTTTTTTCATAGAAACTATTTAACCGAATATTTTTGACTTGAATGTAGCACATTGGAAATGCAAGTTAGCAAGTACTTGAATCCAATGGAAAATCAAGTTTTTCAGTTCTCTGTTTATAATTTTCATTCAATGAAAACCAGTTTAACAAAACATGCTTTGCTGGTGTGAATGGGGTATAAGAAACAATCTTTTCCTGCTTTGTTGCTAAAAATTTACCTTGACTTTATCATAGTCTTCAAACTAAACTGATCCACTTATCTCGAGGCCTTTAACATCCATAATCTCATTTTCAAGTCTCCTTTCTAGATGTAACAAATGTCACCGAAAATGTTTAAGAGAATGAAATGTTGCGTCAGTCTGACACTGTCAAGCTGACAAGTTTCTTTATTCTCCAAAACTGTTGGCTGAAGAATATATTGATTCTGTAAGGAGAAATTGTACATTAAACAATTATTAAGTGTCCGAGTCTGGTACTGAAAGAGTAAAAGCATCACACGATGTATGAATGGGAAATGTTTCTGTAAAAAGAACAAAGATGCAATTTTTTTTTTATGCAATTACGGGGAAGTTAGAAAGCGGCGTAGTGGTTTTAGGTTTTTTCGAACGATTTTGTTGTTGTTCTTTTGTTATGTTGTTTTTTTTTTGACAAAAATTCATTGTCATTCATTTCTGTTTTGCAGGAAAAGTGTCATTTCAGTTTCTTACTCTGGGCTTCCTCAGTCTTTCAATCAAATTACTGAACAAGACACACTTCCTTTACTTTACAAAGCAACAAAGAGTTCAAAGAGTCGTGGTAAGTACGATTTTTAATTGTTAACATGTTGGTGTGCTAATGCGACATCTCATCAATTTAACAATGCATATTTTAAGCTGCTCTCACATAGACCATTACTGTGTTGATTCATATATTGACACATCATGAATTGCTTTAGAAGGACATCGGTCTGACTAAACTCCATCTATATTTAAAGTTTTTTTCATATCACAAGAAGAACAAGTCTCTTGCGCATTAAAATCGGTACTTCTGCCGTGTTGAGTTACATTCGTATGATTCACAACTATCCAACGCTTGGATAACTATGAAATCTCCAGTGTAAATCTGATCCAATAGGCATGCCTAATCTGTGCACAAAAATAGCGTCCTGATAAGTTTACAAATGTTAAATGTTCGCATTGCGTCAAGCGCGGGGCCAGGTATTTCGGCATAACAAATGTTTAGATTAAGAAAGACGGAAACCATTGTTGGTTTTCGCAATGTAACAAAATTGGTAAGAGAGAGCCATCCGAAATTGAAATGTTTTGTGGTTAAAATGTTCATCACATGAGCAGAGATTCTTCTTATCATAAAATCTCCGTTTGGTCCGCCATGATGTTTCCTGGGTCGCGTAAGTAGCGTAAGGTTTTCCAGTGTCGGTGGTAACGCAAAGTATATTCAAATCGCACAGTATTGCTACATTTCAAATTAATTCAAGGCAGGCAAATCTATTTTTTATTTCATGGTTTTTTTTGCGCACTTAATTTATGGGGAAGATGGAGATCGATTGATTTTCAGGTTTCTAAATTTGCGTTTTACAAATCGAACTTAATCTTTACTTTTGGTGTCCGTTGTTCCCCCTTTGATTTATCACCTTTTTTTTCACCTATCAAGTGTTTACGTCATTCTTACAAGAGCTATCTACATTTATCTTTGTTTTTCAGAGAAAGTTCTATTTCAGTTTCTCACTGTTAGTTTTATTAGTCATACGACTGAAATATTAAACAAGACAGGCTTCTTTTTTTCAAAGGTTAGTTAAAAAAAAAAAAAATTTAGACACAATCTTTTCCCGCTTTTTTGCTAAAAATTTGCCCCAACCTTATAATATTCTTTAAACTAAAATGATCCACTCATCTCGAGGCCTTTAACTTCCATAATCTCATTTTCAAGTATCCTTTCTAAATGTAACAAATGTCACTGTAAATATTTTTAGAGAATGAAGTGTTGCGTCAGTCTAACACCGTCAAGCTGACAAGTTTCTTGATTCTCCAAAACTGTTGACTGAAGAATATATTGATTCTGTAGGGAGAAATTGCACATTAAACAATTCTTAAGTGTCCGAGTCTGGGACTGAAAGAGTACAAGCAGCCACACGATGCATAAATGGGAAATGTTTATGCAAAAAGAATAAAGATGCAATGTTTTGAATGCAATTACGGGAAAAAGCGCCTGAGCAAGATGAGTAAGAAATGAGAATATCCTTTATAAACTGAATAAAATGTACCGCCATTTCCCGTTCACAAATGTCTTCCGCATTAAAATCATTTCTTCTGCCGTGTTGCCAAATTTTGCCGTGAGTCAAATTCGTACCATTCATAGCTTTCCAACACTTGGATAACAATCAAAACACTAGTGTAAATCTATTCCAATAGGCTGCCTAATCTGTGCACACAAAAAAAAAACGTCCTGAAAAGTTTACAAATGTTAAATGTTCGAATTGCGTCAAGCGCGGGGTCAGTTATTTCGGCAAAACAAATGTTTAGATTAAGAAAGACGGAAACCGTCGTTGGTGTTGGCAGTGTAAAAGATTGGTAAGATAGAGCCATTGGAAATTGATTTTTTTTTGGTGAAAATGTTCATCACATGAGCAGATATTCATCTCATAAATTCTCCGTTTGGCCCGGCATGTCTAATGTTGTTTCCTTGGTTGTTCTAAGTAGCCTGAGGTTTTTCAGTGTCGGTGGTAACGCAGAGTATATTCAAATCGCACAGTTTTGCTATATTTCAAATTAATTTAAGGCGGGAAAATCTATTATTATTTGATGAGTTTAATTTGTGCGCTTGATTTAAGGGGAAGATGGAGAGCGATTGATTTTGAGGTTCCTAAACTTGCTTTTTACAAATCGAACTTAATCTTTACTTTGGTGTCCGTAGTTCCCCCTTCGGTTTATCATTCTTTTTTCACCGATCAAGCGTTTGTCTTTCTTACAATAGGTATTTGCATTTATCTTTGTTTTTCAGCGCAAGTTGTATTTCAGTGTTATCAGTCATACGACTGGAATATTAAACAAGACAGGCTTTTTTTTTTAAAGGTTAGTTTAAAAAAAATAATTTGGACACAATCTTTTCCCGCTTTGTTGCTAAAAATTTGCCTTGACCTTATCATAGTCTTCAAAATAAAATGATCCACTCATCTCAAGGCCTTTAACCTCCATTATCTCATTTTCAAGTCTCCTTTCTAAATGTAACAAATGTCACTGTAAATATTTTTAGAGAATGAAGTGTTGCGTCAGTCTAACACCGTCAAGCTGACAAGTTTCTTGATTCTC